GTACATACAGTACATCCATTCTGTTTGCCTAAAACCAACGGGAGCTTAATGCTATTTTGGAAGCCTCAAGTAATTTATAAATTCTAGGGCTCTGAGTATACTTTCAGCTGAGTCCCTGCTACCTTTCACAAGTCCCTGCTGGAATGCCATTGGCAGGAAAGGTGGGAAGTAACATGCTAATCTATGGAAAGCCAGGTCTCATTCTGCCAGTGTAGAAACTCCTCAGCCCCGAGGTAGGTCTAATACACCAAGCACATTTCTCACTGCATAAAGCCATGTCTAATTTGTCTTTCCAAGTACCTGAAAGCCAGATTTGAACTGGCTCCCAAAACAGGTGTTTTCTGATTTCTAGTCCTTCAACTAAGAGAATCTTCCATTGAAAAAGCTGGATCCTCAGAAGTCTTTCGAGAAAGAAATATGCATTGCATTAATCCCTGTATTTCATAATCCCAGAGAACAGGAGACAATCACTAGGCAACATCTGTGAAGCTAGTTAGAAAAGCAGCAGATAAACACAAGTTTTGTCAGAAATAAAGAACACAGGACAAAGTCTACTTTAATGTTGTTTTTACTTGTTTGAAGTCCAGAATTTGTTTTACATTCCCTCAATCTTGGGCTCTACAGCAGTGCACCAGAAATAAAAACATACCAAACAGTGCTGTACCTAACATGGACAACAGGGAATGTTGGGAGGTTTTCTGTAGTCCCAGTGGTTTTTTACTGTGACAGGGAAGTTAAGAATGGTTGTGTTCACAAGTAGTACAGCGGATCAATGGCCCCGTTTTTGGGGTGCAGCAGTGCTGAGGACCCACCACCCACAGTTCTGGTGGATTACTTAATCCTGGTTTAATTTGCTGCCACGGCCCAAATGCCCTAAAACACCTCCCCGGTGTATTTGGTGTACTGCTGCCTCACACTTCTCAGTCCGTATGCTGCAGGACTGCTCGATTATGCGAGCCAAAACAACAGTTAGGCAGGCGAGATCAGGAGATTCCACTCTAAAAGTTCATTTCTGGTCTAAACCAAACCCTTAACATTAGCAGCACGTCTCGTGCTCCCGATTTCCTTCCTGGGTCTTTGCTCTAACCACAGCTGCCCTGATGTCGGGGTTTAGGACTTTTCCTCTTGTTTCTTTCTCTCACGGAACGTTGTTCCATCCGTGGCTAAGAAACCACAACCATCGATGGTTCAGAGGGAAAGGACTCGCACGGGAGGGGCGCGGCCGGCTGGGCACCTAGCCGGGGGTTTGTGCTGGGGGGACGGACAGACCGCGGGACCCGGGACTGCTCCTGCCGGACAGACCGCGGGACCCGGGACTGCTCCTGCCGGACGGACCGCGGGACTCGGGATGGGGAGCGGAGATGGGACTCGGGACTGATTCTGCCGGACGGACCGCGGGACCCGGGATGGGGAGCAGGGATGGGGGCGTCTCCCGGGCAGGGGATTAGAGCTGGGCGCAGCTCCCGGACTCGGTGCAGTTATCCCCACCGTGCAGCCCGTCCATCCCCGTCCGTGCCTCCCGTCCCTCCCATCCATCCCGTGCCTCCCATCCCTCCCATCCATCCCGTCCGTCCGTCCCGTCCCTCCCCGCGGGCCGGGGGCTCGGCGGAGCCGGCGCACAGCGCCGCCTGGCGGCGCGGGGCAGGGCCGGGCCGGGCCGGGCCGGGCCCGCCGGTGTGCCGTGCTTCTCTGCCCTGCTTCTCTGCCCTGGTGCACTGCACACACCGGCAACAAACTGCCCGTCCTCTCCCCAGAGCTCTGCCCCAAAGCCCCCTCATTTAAAGTTGTAATAATCCGGAGGGAAGGGGCCGCATGCTCCATTCCCGCCTTCCTTGGCGGACACGCGCCTTTGGAACCGAGACGCCTGCGTCAGGAGCAGTCTCGGAACCACAGACCCATTGCGGCTGGAAAAGACCTCCAAGAGCCAAACCTTTGACCCGTCACCACCTTGAGGACTAGACTAGAGTCCCGAGTGCCACATCCAGTCACCTCTTGGGCACCCGCAGGGACGGGGACTCTGTCACCTCCCTGGGCTGCCCATTCCATGCTGGACAACCTTTCCATGAAGAAATTCCTGATGCCAGCCTGACCCTCCCCTGGCACAGCCTGAGGCCATTCCCTGTCCTGTTCCCTGCAGCACAGCCTGACTCCCCCGTTGTTGAGGTGAACACCCTATGTGTGGAGACACAAGGTTTGATTCTATTTCCTCAGAAGGCTGATTTATTACCTTATGATATAGATTATATTAAAATGCTACATTAAAACTATACTAAAAGAACAGAGAGAAAAAAAAGATCAGAAGGCTACAAAGAACAAGAATAGAATAGAATAACAAAGTCTTGTGACTCTCAGAGTCTGATGCAGCTGCATCTGTGATTGGCTCTTAATTAGAAACAACTAATATGCACCAGCCGCAGATGCACCTGTTGCATTCCACAGCAGCACATCATTATTGTTTACATTTCTTTCCTGAGGCCTTCAGATCCTCAGGAGAGGAAAACCCTAAGAAAGGATTTTTCATAAAACACCATAACTACAGTCCCTCCTGCCAGGAGCTGTGCAGAGCCTCAAGGTGCCCCTGAGCCTCCTTTTCCCCAGGCTAAACAGCCCCAGCTCCCTCAGCTGCTCCTCACAGCACTTGTGCTGCAGACCTTCCCAGCTGTTTCCTTCTCCGGACACGCTCCAGCCCCCCAAAAACTTCCTCATCCCGAGGGAGCTGCGTGCCAGGTTTGTGGTGAGCCGTTGCCAGGCACAGGCACAGGGACAGTCCCTGCTCTGGCCCAGCCAGCCACACTAGGGCTGATCCAGGTCCCAGCCCACATGGGCACAGCTGGCTCGTGCCCCGGTCCCTTCCTGCCCTCTCATTACAGTATTCCATGTAAAAATGCAGGGATGGGTTAAAAACAAGCGTTTAGCCTGTTTATGATGAATATTTGCAACAGTCTGGGTTGTTCCAAGGGCAGCTTCCAAACCAGCCCGAGAGTCACAGCGCTGTGTTGGTGGGACGCACTGCAGGCAGCCAAAGGTCCTCTACACCTTAATTCCCTACACCACACCCTGCTGCATTTCAGTCATATGATCTGTTCGGTGTATCGCGCTCCAGCCCACAGCATTATTTAGTCTTTTTGTAAGATTAGAAAGAAGGGAAAATAATCCCAGCAGATCTACTATTTGGCTCCACAGCCGAGTGCTTAGCCAGAACACAAGGGTTCCTCTATGTTCCTGCTCCCGAGCAGCGCAGCCCACGCCCGCAGGGTCTCTCCCGGTTCTCCTGCCTGCCCCATCCCGGCCCTGCTCCCTGCTTCTCGCCAAGCTTAAACAAAGCGCTTTTTCAGGCACCACAGAGTTACAACCTGGCTGCGGGAACCCTATCAAATCCTATTTCTGATAACTAAACTCCATTTAATCTAGCCATAATCCTTCAAATACTGTAAATATTTGTCTTTCGATTAAGAAAACAAAGCAAACCCACGGGCAGGGGGGGTCGGGGTGCTGTTTTCAGCCTTTTCAGGACGCTCACACCGAGTGTCTGGGGATGCGCGTGTGCTCCCGGCTCCCTCTGAGCCGGTATTCATGGGAGCAACTCCTCCTGGGGAGGGCAGAGCCCCCCGAGGGGCAGCGGCTGCTTTCTCGGGAGGGCAGAGCACGTGGAGGCTGCTGCAGCGGGCACAAGGCCCCCGGGGGGCGGGATGGGGAGTGCGGGGTGCGGGATGGGGAGTGCGGGATGCAGAGCGCGGGATGCGGAGTGCAGGGTGCTGGGTGCGGGATGTAGGGGGTGCAGGATTGGGAGTGCAGGGTGCGGGATGGGGAGTGCAAGGTGCTGGGTGCGGGATGCAGGGAGTGCAGGGTGCGGGATGCAGGGAGTGCAAGGTGCTGGGTGCGGGATGCAGGGAGTGCAAGGTGCTGGGTGCGGGGAGTGCAGGGTGCTGGGTGCGGGATGCAGGGAGTGCAGGGTGCTGGGTGCGGGGTGCAGGGAGTGCAGGATGGGGAGTGCAGGGTGCGGGATACAGGATTGGGAGTGCAGGATGCAGGGGGTGCGGGATGCGGGATGGGGAGTGTAGGGTGCGGGATGCAGGGGGTGCGGAGTGCAGGGTGGGGAGTGCTGGGTGCGGGATGCAGGATTAGGAGTGCAGGGTGCGGGATGCAGGGGGTGCGGCCCCGTCCGGTCCCGCCATCGATAGCTCGGCGCTCAGGCAGCCCCGAGGCCGCGGGCACCATCTTGGAGCCGGGCAGGGCCGTCCCGCGGCTTTAACGAGGCCGGCTGAGGGGCCGCACCTGGCGAGGGACAGCCCAAATACCGGCACGGGTGGGGCGGGATGCGCTAGAGAGCGGCTGTGCGGGGAAGGAGCTGAGCACGGCAGCCAGTGTGTCCTGAGCCAGGGGCGCGGTGGTGTCGGGGCGCTCCGCAGCGTGCCCGGCAGGCCAGGGGCCATCCTGCCCTCTGCTCGGCCCCACTGAGGGCACACCTGGGGGCTACGGCAGGGACACGGAGATGGGGAGGGCTCGGGAGCAGCGCTGGGAGCTGCGCCTGTTTATTCCGGACAAGACTGAGAGGGGATCCATCAGTGCACGTCAACGTCTCAAATGGGTGCCGAGAGGACGGCGCTACACTTGGCAGACTTGGTGCTAGACTTGGTGCCAGCGGCAGAACAAGGAGCGCTGGCCATGAAGAGAAGCACAAGGAGTTTAGCAATGGCCATGAAGTGAAGCACAAGGAATTTAATCTCAACGTGAGGAACCCTCCTTACACTGAATGGCAGAGCCCTGGAACAGCTGCTGGGCTGTGTCCCTCTCTGCAGGAAGCCCAAGCCCCCGGAGCACGTTTCCCTGTGCCCTGCCCTGGAGGCCGTGCCCCGGCAGGGGGGATGCCCTGGCTGCTCTCCCGAGCTCGCTCCCGGCCCCGGCAGCTCCCGCGGCTCCGCTCCCGCCGCCCGGGACGGCGCGGCCGCGGCTCGCCGCGCATGCGCAGGCGGCGCCCGCCGCTCATGGCACAGGCGCGGTCGCGCTGTCGCTCCGGCCGCGGGAGGAGGAGGAGGAGGAGAAGAAGGAGGAGAGGGGAGGCACGGGAGGAAGAAGATGCCGGGGAAGCTGAAGGTCAAGATCGTGGCGGGGCGCCATTTGCCGGTGATGGACCGCGCCAGCGACCTGACCGACGCCTTCGTCGAGGTGGGTGGCGGGGGAGCGGGCCCGGCCCGCGCGGGGAGGCACCTGCCGGGCCCGGCCGCGCTCGGGGAGCGGCACAGCGGCGGGGCTGCCCGGGAAGGGTGATCGGGCATTGGAATGGGCTGCCCGGGAAGGGTGATCGGGCATCGGAACGGGCTGCCCGGGAAGGGTGATCGATCATCGGAAGGGGCTGCCCGGGGAAGGCTGATCGATCATCGGAAGGGGCTGACCGGGAAGGGTGATCGATCATCGGAAGGGGCTGCCCGGGAAGGCTGATCGGGCATCGGAAGGGGCTGTGGAGCCGCCGTCCCCCGCGGCGCTCAGGGCTCTGTGCCGTGGTGAGGCTGCGGTCGGTCTCAGCCTGGGCTCGGGGATCGCAGGGGGCATTTCCAGCCTAACCGAGTCTCTGGTTAGACAGACGTGTTGCAAGGAGGATGGCGAAGTAATAAAATCGCCTTTAAATCAGTTATGTTATTGAATATACGAGTGGTTGTACAGGCTTTACTTTTGAGGCCAACGTTCATCTTTCCTTTTAAAACATTTGAAATATTGAAATGTTTTCAAAGTGGGCTTTTAGTCAATAAGTACTTAATATTATTTGCGTGTTTAAATCACTTCATTGCACCCAGAGTATCTAGCTTCAGCCTTCTTTGCAGTCACGTAGTTTGCAGGCAATATGTAGGGCCCTTCTCAGGAAGGGATTGTAAAACAAGCTGAAGTACAAAATAAGTGGAGTTATTTAAGGCCCAGGTTGGATGGGGCTCTGAGCAATGGCAGGGGGTTTGAACGAGGTGGACTTTAGGGTCCCTTCCAAACCAAGCCTTTTTATGATTTCTGTTACATGATCCTTGTCTTTTTTGATTCATTTTTTTCCAATATGAATGACTTAGAACATTTCAGAAGCATTCCATGTGTTCGGGACTTAGGCTGTGAGAAAAATCAGAACTATTTAAAAATGGTGTGCTCTGGAAATGCGTGTCTTGTGCCACAAATAGTGATTGAGGTGTGCCACAAAAGAGTGGTTGAAGCTGGCACGATGCTAGAATTAAGGTAGGAAGACAGAATGTCTTTCTAGACCTGTATACTCTGGAAAATATGATAATGTTAATACAAAAGTAAATTTGGGGTGTATAAGTCGTGATTTAATTTGGTGCTTAAAAATTGGGGTGACATTAGACTCTAAGGGCATTGCTTAATGGGAGAGTAAACTGGTGGTAAATGAGGATGTATTTCAGCCTTTCAGTGGAGCAGAAATTGTACGTAATTTTATTTTATTACATGAAACCTAGGTTTCACTGTTTTGTCAGCTGTTTCAGTGGTCAGGTTTTAATTTTTAAAAGCTTCTCTTGTAGGCTGCCTGTTAATCCAGTCTAAAATTACAACAACTCTGACGCTTGCTACCAGGGGACAGGGAGAACAGGGCTAGGAAATGCAGTTCCCCGAGTTTCATTTGGCCTGGTTTTACTCTGTGTTAGGAGAAACAGCTCTCCTCTTCTGTGGGTCACTGTTCCCAGCCCTGCTGTCGGTGTAGCAAAGCAGATTGCTGGAATTATGTAGTAAAACACTAGCATAGCAGAAAAGGAAAATAGACACTTTCATCAAGATCAGTTTGCTTGGCTGGGTTGATGTGCAGTTCCATGGGTGCCCTGGCACAGGTAAGGGTGTAGAAATACACAGATGGGGGCCTTGCTTCTAGGATTGTTAATTAGGAGCTGTGTGAAGTAACTTCCCTTTCCGTGTGTGGAGAAGGCAACGCAGCAGGTGAGACTTATTGCAAAGTAAGTTGAGATGAAACTATTGTTTCATTTTTCTGTGTGAGATTGCTGAGAAACTTTCCAATGTGTTCTTCCTTAAATAGAACGAAAAGCACATGTTAAGGTTCTAGTTGTTTACTAACCTTAAATTTCCTTCTTAAATACTGCAATATAAACTTGGAACTAGAAAAGAGAATGAGGAGAGACTTAAGAGCTCTTACTTGGCCCAGGTTCTGCAAAACTTGGGCTTCAGTAGCTTGAGCACAGTGATCCTTGCCCCAGCTCAGAATGTTTATTGCCGTTTCTTCCATAAACGTGCTGTTAACTTTGCACGGTGGGCAGCGGTGTGGAGTTTTATTGTCTGTGCAGCCTCAGCGAGCTGGCTGGAGCTGTGGGGAGTGCAGTTCTGGCTGCCCGGGGCTCCGAGGGAGCTGATTTAGCCCCGGGATAACGCCTGAGGTCGGCTGGGTGCAGCTCAGGGCCCTTGGGTGCCGGCAGCCCTGCAGTCAGAGCTGGTGTTTAACTGGTCGCTCAGCCGGTGCTTTACTGTACTTCAGCCAGTGGGATTGCCCCTGTGCCAAAGAATCGCTGTGCTACTGAGATGTACCCGGTGGTCACTTCACACTGCCTCGGGCAGGACCACACTCACTGCTCAAATCCAGGCCTGAGTTCAGTTTCCAAAATGCCTTTAGCCTGTTAAAAGGTAAAAGCTGTCAAAACCTCTAACTCCAGCATTTCTTCTCTATCTGCCTAGTCATTATTTTCCTTAAGAATCTTGAATAAATTTGAAAATGTAACTTTGAGTGTTTGTAAGTGGCTGGGATGAGGTGCAGGCAGCCTTCAGAGAACTGCATGTGTTTGGAAATGGTTTGAAATGAAAGCTGCAGTGAAATAAAGGCTTTTCCTTTGTGCTGTGTGGCTTCCTGATAGATGGAGCATCACAGAAATTGTTTCACTTAAAAAAAGGAAACAAGAAGCCCCCACAAAACCCAAATGAGCTTAGCCTGAAATAGATGCCTGCAGAGACCATATGGGTACTGCTGAAGTGGGTTATTATGTGGTTGATGGTGCAATAAGAGTATGGAAAACATTCAATTTCTAGTAGTCCTCTCTCTATATATCTCAAATCCAACTTGTTTTTACATTTATTTAATCAATTTTCAGTGAAGATGGTTGAGAAATCCTAGAGAGAAGAGTAATAGGTCACAAACTACCAACATTTAGAATATTTTTCCTTATAGAAGGCAAGGAGTGTATGTAAAGTGACTTTGAGTAGCCAATATAAGTGATATTTTTGCCTCTCAAATGACTGAGGAGGCAAAGAAACAATTTTAGTAGTATGACAGGATGAGAGAGAGATTGATTGGAAGTGTCATAGACACGTGGATACTGATATATGTAAATTGAGTTTAAAAGCCACTCAGTGAAAACAAAATTATTTGTTGAAATATGTATTTGAAATTATTCGCCTATGTCAATTAAACGAGTTTCAGGTTTTTTGTATTAATATTTGTAATTGCTAATTGAATGTTTGTGTTTTCAGGTGAAATTTGGAAATACAACATTCAAGACAGACGTGTATCCCAAATCACTTAATCCTCAGTGGAATTCTGAGTGGTTCAAATTTGAAGTAAGTATTTTTAAGAGTTTGCCTGTAACTGTATAGACACTCTGGTTTAGCTGCCTTAATTAAACAATTGCATTTCCGGCAGAGAGAGCGTGAGCACTGAAGTGTGTTTGTGTTTACATGCACAAAGCCTTCTCAGCAGAGCCAGCTCCAGTGGCTCCTTGTTTGCTAAGGGCGTCTCTGGCTTCTCAGGAGTGTTTGTGCAGATAAAAGCTTGCCAGGCTGGATCCAGCTTCAGTGTCGTTCTGCTGGAAAAGAGAGCACTGCACTGAAGGTGGGGAGGTGCAGCCGGGGTTAGCCTTGGTCAGCACAGCCATCAGTGCAACTGTCTGTAAATAAATACATACATGTGAAAGTACCGCTGTTCTGGTGGGGTTTTTTAATTTTGAGCAAGGAAAGTTAGTAGGTATTTGAAGTCTTACATTTGGTCGCAAAGATAATGCAAAGGAGAAAACGGAAAATTCCTGTGTGAAGATTACAAAATAAAGAGCTTGGACAACAATTGTTGGACACTCTCTTCTCGTTTCCTTATGTAATAATGAGGGCACTCAGCATTTTCCTGTAATTGCTTGTTGCTTTCCAGGATCTAATTTGTTGATGTCCTTTGACATTATGCCCTGAACAATGTTTACATGTTTCTTTCATTTTTTGACTACTTCGAAAATGAGGATTATGTTTAGAATAAATTAATTATTAAAACACTTGAATGTGTAGTTCTGGTTCATTTACCGTGCCCTAAGGCAATATCACAATTCTGCAAACACTTAGATGAGTCATCCCATTGCAGTTAGCAAACTTAATTCTTGGTTTGTGACACTGAACACAAAAATTTGTTAAATAGCTGTCTCAGTCCTAAAAGAAAATAGTTGTTATCTGTAGATGGGTTATTGCATTTAGGAAATTGCATGTGTAGAATTACTGAGCTTTTACCACAGGCTGTGTAAAATAATCTGCTTTTAAGCCACTGGCCAGTAATGGGAAGACCATAATCTTAACTTCAGAGCATAATAGTCCTCTGAAGTATTTTGTCTAAAATTTTCTTTCTTTCTTTTCCTTTCTTCCTTGTTTTATTTATTTATCTATCAGTGAGTATTGTGGAGATAGGTGGACAATATTCTAAGTGTGACTTAAAATATTGTGGAATTTTAAGATGAATAATCTCTGTAATTGTGCTTTTCTGTTCTTCTCCCAGTGACAGCTCTGTTTCCAGGATCTCACCAGTCTCTGAAGGATAAAACCAAGTGCTGTTTAGCTTCAGGAAGCTGACATTACAGATTTGTCTGTGTCAGGTCACTGTCCATAACTGGCTCTCTTCTCCTCTGCGTTTGTTTCTCAGCAGTGTTCCCCTGCACATTTTTAAACACGGATGTCTGTTAATATCTCTTTGCAGGTGGATGATGAGGAGCTGCAGGATGAGCCTCTCCAGATCACAGTTCTCGACCACGACACGTACAGTGCCAACGATGCCATTGGCAAAGTGTACATAGACATCGACCCTCTGCTCTACAGCGAGGCAGCCACCGTCATTTCGGGCTGGTTTCCAATTTATGACACCATTCATGGTAAGCTTTGCTGATTTAAAACAGCCTTTTTGAAACGTAATCTGCTTCTTGTAGTCTTGTAAACTGTCTTCAGAAATTTGTAATCACTTCAGCTTTGGAGTTGGAAAACTACTTTCCTGGCTTTTTTTTTCCCTTATTTTTGACATGAGAGAATTTCTGGCAGGGGAGTAAAGACTGGTGCTTGGCAGAACGCCTCCCGTAGGATTTGTGACAAGAGGAAAAAATACTCACTAGTTACTGCAAATTTCAGATTACAAAAAAGACTCAGACTTATTGTCCAATTACCACATGCTTGCTAAACAAGTGTACTTTTGCTGGGGTTGCTTGAAGTGTGCCTTCCTGGAATTTGGGATAAACTTCAATTGAGATGAAGGGACAAGGATGTGAGATCTTCAACAGGATGAAATTCCTTTTCCCTGCAGTAAGTGCTCTCAGTGCTAGGTGGATTTCATCAGAATGTCTTGAAGGTATGAGAAAATAAAGGTAATGATGCTTTTGATTTTAATGGCACAGCTTTTGTCTCAGAGAGCCAATGTCATTTTAGAGCAATGAACTTGCTGCTTGGATACCTTAGTGCAGAACATCTCTGTGACTGCCATTGTCCCCCTTGTCCATTATTCAGGGTGAATTAAATGACCTAATGATGTTCAAAGCTAATTAGAAAATAGTTGTTATCTGTAGATGGGTTATTGCATTTAGGAAATTGCATGTGTAGAATTACTGAGCTTTTACCACAGGCTGTGTAAAATAATCTGCTTTTAAGCCACTGGCCAGTAATGGGAAGACCATAATCTTAACTTCAGAGCATAATAGTCCTCTGAAGTATTTTATCTTAAATTTTCTTTCTTTCTTTTCCTTTCTTCCTTGTTTTATTTATTTATCTATCAGTGAGTATTGTGGAGATAGGTGGACAATATTCTAAGTGTGACTTAAAATATTGTGGAATTTTAAGATGAATAATCTCTGTAATTGTGCTTTTCTGTTCTTCTCCCAGTGACAGCTCTGTTTCCAGGATCTCACCAGTCTCTGAAGGATAAAACCAAGTGCTGTTTAGCTTCAGGAAGCTGACATTACAGATTTGTCTGTGTCAGGTCACTGTCCATAACTGGCTCTCTTCTCCTCTGCGTTTGTTTCTCAGCAGTGTTCCCCTGCACATTTTTAAACACGGATGTCTGTTAATATCTCTTTGCAGGTGGATGATGAGGAGCTGCAGGATGAGCCTCTCCAGATCACAGTTCTCGACCACGACACGTACAGTGCCAACGATGCCATTGGCAAAGTGTACATAGACATCGACCCTCTGCTCTACAGCGAGGCAGCCACCGTCATTTCGGGCTGGTTTCCAATTTATGACACCATTCATGGTAAGCTTTGCTGATTTAAAACAGCCTTTTTGAAACGTAATCTGCTTCTTGTAGTCTTGTAAACTGTCTTCAGAAATTTGTAATCACTTCAGCTTTGGAGTTGGAAAACTACTTTCCTGGCTTTTTTTTTCCCTTATTTTTGACATGAGAGAATTTCTGGCAGGGGAGTAAAGACTGGTGCTTGGCAGAACGCCTCCCGTAGGATTTGTGACAAGGGGAAAAAATACTCACTGGTTACTGCAAATTTCAGATTACAAAAAAGACTCAGACTTATTGTCCAATTACCACATGCTTGCTAAACAAGTGTACTTTTGCTGGGGTTGCTTGAAGTGTGCCTTCCTGGAATTTGGGATAAACTTCAATTGAGATGAAGGGACAAGGATGTGAGATCTTCAACAGGATGAAATTCCTTTTCCCTGCAGTAAGTGCTCTCAGTGCTAGGTGGATTTCATCAGAATGTCTTGAAGGTATGAGAAAATAAAGGTACTGATATTTTTGCTTTTGATTTTAATGGCACAGCTTTTGTCTCAGAGAGCCAATGTCATTTTAGAGCAATGAACTTGCTGCTTGGATACCTTAGTGCAGAACATCTCTGTGACTGCCATTGTCCCCCTTGTCCATTATTCAGGGTGAATTAAATGACCTAATGATGTTCAAAGCTAATTATAACTCATTGTTGGGAAGTAATTAATGGTGTTCACCAGATGCTCATCACAAGTGATGCACAGTATTTTTTGCATTTAAACCAGTTGTAGCAAATGGAAATATTAAGAAATATTGCAAAAATATTGTTTTTTTAATTACCTTTTTATCCTGTGCACATTTTCCTATCACACATTTTCTTCTGGAGCTAAATTATGCAAACACTTGTTGTAGGATGTGTACAGCTGGTAGGTTAGAGAGAGTTAGATATCTCTGTATTTTTCTAGATAAGTTGGTATTTCACAGCTTTTTTCAGTGTAAGTAAAATTGGAATTCTTATATTTTCATGCTCATAGCACTAGATTTCAATTATCTTGACTCTTGGCAAGCACTGATGCTTCCTTAAAAAAGAATAAATAAAAAATGTTTATAAGTTTGTATGAATTTTTTTCTTTCACCTGACCATGATTGTTTGTAAAAATAGATAACCCTGAGGCATTTTCTGTTATAACTGAAGGCTTCTCTCTGTTGGCATTTGGGAAGGGAGATGCAGCTGGTTTTGTTGCAGTAATGTCTGAGTTGAACAGCAGTGCTGCTGTTTCGGTGTCCTATGCTGATGTGATAAAGGCTTCTGAAGACATGAGGGATCAGACTCGCCAAGAAGTTTAGTCCTCAATATGTCAGAACCTATAATATGTGAAGTGGTTGTTACGGGGTGGGGAAAAAGAAGAAAAAGCTCTGAACAGGAAAGTGAAAGTCAAAAGGAATGGTTCTGTGTTAGAAAATATTCCATTTATAGTAAGGTTTAATCATAGTTGAAAGTTAACCTTTGTCTAAAAGAGCTATAATACCTTTTTTTTTCCTATATTTCTTGTCACAGTTAAAGTGTTTTGCAAACACTTCCTGTGCCACTTCTTGGTTCTGGAAAACCACATGAATCTTTCTCCTTGGGTTGAACTTCAGAGAGGAGCTTTACTGCAATTTTGAAATTGTTTCAGGGAGGAAATTGAGCAGAGAGAGCACCTCCTGCAGCAGAGGCCGCTGCAGCGTCAAGAGGCTGGTGGCTGCTCTTTGCCCATTCCCATCTTATAAAGTTCTCCTTGGTGCAGATAGGCATTTGAGGAGCGTTGCTTTCCTTGTTGCACCCTCCCAGGCTTGGCAGACCTCGAAGCTTCCTCTGAGCCAGTGCCTCTGCAGCAGACCTGGGAGGCAAGGCTGTGGTGTCCTGCTCCTCTGGCATTGATTACTAATAACAGGAAATCCTTTCTAGGGCTAGTTTTGTACTGATGCGGTTAAAGTGTTATAACTTCTGGTATTTCATGTTTTTTTATTGATAGGTATACGTGGGGAGATCAACGTAGTGGTGAAAGTAGATCTCTTCAATGATTTAAACAGATTTAGGCAGTCATCCTGTGGAGTCAAATTTTTTTGCAGTAAGTAGAGGAAACAAGTTTATTTGGACAAAAATGCTTTCCCTCCTTTCCTTTCTATGCCTCTTCTGTCTCCCTTCTCTTACCAGCTCATTGCATAAACCTAGTGGAGACAACATTGACACAAATTGCTTTTGTTTTTTAACACATTTTTACTGTTCATGTTTCAAAAGAACGTAAATAACTGATGGGATTTTTAAACATCCATAAGTTGCATTTCAGTGCCTGTGCATACAACGTGGTGTTATTTTGGGTCCATATCCTTTTAAAGAGGCCTAAGTGAGAAGTTTTCATATGGTACATGCTGTAACTGGTACACTGGACAGTTATCTGTACAGGGTTCCATGATTTCATGAGCAAAACTTCCCGGGGGTGTCCACATTTTCACAGAAAATTGCCTGGAAAACTTTCTGAAATCCTTCTGACGTGTTACTGTAGGCTTTTCTTGCTGTCCTTGGCTGAGAGCCGTGCCTCTGACCCCTGTGCTGTGTGTGTCTGTCCCAGCCACGTCCATCCCCAAGTGCTACCGGGCCGTGGTGATCCACGGCTTCGTGGAGGAGCTGGTGGTGAACGAGGACCCCGAGTACCAGTGGATCGACAGGATCCGCACGCCGCGCGCGTCCAACGAGGCGCGCCAGAGGCTCATCTCGCTCATGTCAGGTACGGCCTCGGCGAGCTCTGCACTGTGCTGCTCTCGTTCTGCTTCCCCCCACAGTCCCCTCTCTTTTCATCTCACTCATGTCAGGTACGGCCTCGGCGAGCTCCGCACCGTGCTGCTCTCGTTCTGCTTCCCTCACAGTCCCCTCTCTTTTCATCTCACTCATGTCAGGTACGGCCTCGGCGAGCTCCGCACCGTGCTGCTCTCGTTCTGCTTCCCCCCACAGTCCCCTCTCTTTCTGACTGTTCTGTGTTTCTAGCCAATGGACAGCGTGACTGGCTTTTGGGGTGGCTTTTTATCACTTCTTGGTCAGGCCATGCGGCTGCCTAAATTTTTGGTTGCTTTTAGCAAGGTCAAAACCTGTGAAACTTTTTCCGAGATGTTCTTAACCCATATGAGGAGTCTCACTAGAAATTTGACTCAGAGTAATGAACTTCACCCTCTGAACTGTTTGCAGCATGTGAGCAAATCTGCACTATTTCAGATACAGTGTGCATGTTACCCATCCCATCCTTTAAATCAGGCTTGGTTCATTGTTTCTCAGGCATCTCCTCTGAGGAAAGAATTGGATAATTGGCATTATTCAGCCTAAAGAAGAGAAACTTTGGGGTGACCTTGGTGGCTTTCCAGTGCCTGAAAGGAGCTACAAAAAAGATGGGAGGGACTATTCCCAAGGGCCTGGACAGACAGGACACTGACAGAGAGTGGGTTTGGATGGGATATTGGGATTAAATCCTTCTCTGTGAGGATGGGGAGGCCCTGGCACAGGCTGCCCAGAGCAGCTGTGGCTGCCCCATCCCTGGAAGATTTCAAGGCCACGCTGGATGGGGCTCTGAGCTACCTGGGACAGTGGAAGGTGTCCTTGAGATCTTCAATAAGTGGGCAACATAAAAGATTGTAGAGATATACCTTCATTGGAAAGACCAGCATGCTGTGAGGGAAAAAGTGGAATAAACTGTTGTCATAATTAACATGAGGACATTTTTGTTAATGTAGCCCCCATATTAGTTTATAGAATCCATATATGTATAATTCTTGCTATGCATAAATAGTGCAGGTGGATAAAATATTCTGCTAGATTTTATTCATGGCATAGATAAGAGGATAAAAACCCAAAAGTCCTCACAGGAATACTGTTTCACCTCATGTAATAAAATGTGTGCTACTGCAATATTGTTATTGGTGGTCACACATAAAGAATCTTGAAATCTGTAACTTCTGAGGGTGAGCCAGGATGTTTCACAGATCTTTGTCATTGTATGTTAACTTAAAAAGAAACTTTCATACTCTATCTCAACCCTAGGGGTTTTTCAAGAGTGGTTCAGGCATGGTTTCAGTTAAGAAGTTTACAAGAGTAACTTGTGCTGGTAATTTTAGAATCAAACTTCAAGAAAGCAGCAGAAACCAGAGCCAGGAGTTGGACTTAAATGGTCCTTGTGGGTCCCTTCCTTTAAATCAGGCTTGGTTCATTGTTTCTCAGGCATCTCCTCTGAGGAAAGAATTGGATAATTGGCATTATTCAGCCTAAAGAAGAGAAACTTTGGGGTGACCTTGGTGGCTTTCCAGTGCCTGAAAGGAGCTACAAAAAAGATGGGAGGGACTATTCCCAAGGGCCTGGACAGACAGGACACTGACAGAGAGTGGGTTTGGATGGGATATTGGGATTAAATCCTTCTCTGTGAGGATGGGGAGGCCCTGGCACAGGCTGCCCAGAGCAGCTGTGGCTGCCCCATCCCTGGAAGATTTCAAGGCCACGCTGGATGGGGCTCTGAGCTACCTGGGACAGTGGAAGGTGTCCTTGAGATCTTCAATAAGTGGGCAACATAAAAGATTGTAGAGATATACCTTCATTGGAAAGACCAGCATGCTGTGAGGGGAAAAGTGGAATAAACTGTTGTCATAATTAACATGAGGACATTTTTGTTAATGTAGCCCCCATATTAGTTTATAGAATCCATATATGTATAATTCTTGCTATGCATAAATAGTGCAGGTGGATAAAATATTCTGCTAGATTTTATTCATGGCATAGATAAGAGGATAAAAACCCAAAAGTCCTCACAGGAATACTGTTTCACCTCATGTAATAAAATGTGTGCTACTGCAATATTGTTATTGGTGGTCACACATAAAGAATCTTGAAATCTGTAACTTCTGAGGGTGAGCCAGGATGTTTCACAGATCTTTGTCATTGTATGTTAACTTAAAAAGAAACTTTCATACTCTATCTCAACCCTAGGGGTTTTTCAAGAGTGGTTCAGGCATGGTTTCAGTTAAGAAGTTTACAAGAGTAACTTGTGCTGGTAATTTTAGAATCAAACTTCAAGAAAGCAGCAGAAACCAGAGCCAGGAGTTGGACTTAAATGGTCCTTGTGAGTCCCTTCCAGCTCAGGAAATTCTGTGATTCTCTGACCATTTCATTCCACTTGATTTCTCAGCAGCAGTGACATTAGGACTGTTAAGCCATCCTTTGTGAAGGTGAGGGTTTTTTGGTTTGTTAGCAGAGGATTTTGGAGATCTTTTGTTTTTGTAAGAAGAGAGATGATATTTTCCACTTGAGTTACTACCAAGGCAATCCAGCTACACAGAGCCATTCATTTTTTATCATGTCCTCCTAAGAAAGCATCAATGGCAGACCAGTTCCTTACAGTCACAATCTTTCAGTCCTAGTGTGCAGTTAGGAGTGCTGGTGTTTGGTTTGCAGTAGAGGGGCAAAAGGTGGGAGTTAAGTTGAAATATGCTTAACTAAATTGGTAAATGAAGACATTGCAGATGCCTGTTCATACCGATTTCAAAGACGTCAGAATCAAAGACCACAAAAGAGAATGGAAGTTCACTGCAACCCTGGGCTCTTTACCTTTTGTTTTGTAGGTGAACTGCAAAGGAAGATTGGCTTGAAGGTGCTTGAAATGAGAGGAAACGCTGTTGTTGGTTATTTGCAGTGTTTTGATTTGGAGGGAGAGTCTGGACTCGTAGTGAGAGCCATAGGAACAGCCTGCACGTTGGATAAATTAAGTAACACATCAGCATTTTTACCTGCATGTAACTCCCCATCCAAAGAAATGAAGGAGTAAGTATGAATTAGTAGCTTGTAGGGAAACAAGTTTCACTTCTCTTCCTTTCATACTCATTCAGTTTTTCATAACCGGAGTGATTTCTTTTTTTCCCCAGAATTTGTTTTCCTTTTGTAGTTTTATTTGTCTGCAATAAGTTTTTTATTCCACAATTCTGGAATGTTTTAGGTTGGATGAGTTGTTATTTCAGTAGAAGCTGGAGTGGTAGTTCTTACTTAAGATGACTTTCTTTGTATTTATGTAGCAATAGTAGTACATATCCTTGGCTTGTGATCCACCAGTTTAACTGTAATTAGTTCTGCTTTGATGCTCTGTTTGTGCAATGAACATTTTTGTGAGGACGTCTCACAAATACAACTTTGGTTCAAGTTTAAATGTTTATAAGCATATAATAGAAGATAAATTTTGAATTCTGGTCGTTCTGTCTGTGATTGAGACAACGACCCTAAAGAGGTCTCATCTTTTATTGTGTGCTTTGCTTTTTGCTGTTGTAAAACAAGAAGGACTGTGGCAAAACAGGTAGACAGTGAACTTGCAGAGAAATCTTTTAATTATGAGAACTATAATTGTGTGATTTATGTCATATGTACTGCAGCACCAAACAGTTTGAATGCAGTGTTTTGATATGCATAGAAATTAATAGGAATATACTTGCAGTCTTCTTTCAACTGTTGTTACTTTTTTGCATGGATAAATCAGTGATTTTCTGTTTGGTAGAGCAATACAGGAAGGAAAAAACTGCACCCAGAAGTGTATTACTTATCCTGTGTTTCTAGATGTATTCATTGAAGTAGCCATTTTCATTAACTTGAACTGTTGTGTCACTGCAATAGGGATGAGGCATTTTTGTTGTGCAGGCATCAATTGCTCTGCAAAATTTTGCAAAATATGAGCTCACTTCTAAAAATTACTGCTTTCTATTTCATGGCATAGCTTGTTTGACTTGTCTTGATTTAAAAAAATTAAAGTTTAAAAGAACTTCAGGATAGAGTGCAGCATAGAGCAACAGCATGGTGTTTAAAAACAAATAAGGTAGACCTGGTAATTATCAACTTAAAAAGCACCCATAAATAAACCAGTGGCTTTCACTCTGCAGCAAAATGTGGAAATTCCACCTCCCAAATTACCCACGTTCAAGTCAGTGATGGATATTGTCTCAGTTCAAAAAATGGGAATGTTTCTCTAAGGCAGCAAAATCAACTAATTTGATTCTTCTTACTCTTGGCTTTACTAACTCGGTGGCCTGTTGCCAGAAATCAATGATGCAGTCACAAGCAAGTGCTTAAGCTGTTCCTTTCCCTGCTTTTATTTCATCTGGACTCTTGCATGCTAGGAATTGGAATTCTTAGAGTCTGCTTAGAGTAAGAGCTCTCCTCTATCTAAACCTCCCTGAAGTCATTGATAACGTAACTTTGCAACCTGTTTGTATGTATTGTTTTCTTTTCTTCCGCCCTGGCTGCAAACTCTCTCAGGTCTCCGCTGGTTCACCCGCCGAGCCATGGATGCCGCTCGACCCACAACAGCCCAATTCACACTGCTACTGGCTCACGGCTCACTCAGAACTTCTCTGTGTCTGTTCCCACTCTCATCTACACTGGTACGAGACTGCTCACACTCCACAGCTGGGGAGAGGCAGCCCACAGGCACAGTGCTCCCAAGGGCAGGCAGGCAGGCAGTGTAGGCAGGTACCGCCCTACCGTCTTTCCTCCCTCCTTTCCTCATGGACACACCTGCTGTTACCAGGGAAGAAGCACCCAGAGTGCTGCAGCTCGAGCAAATGCAGGATAGTTTCTTGGAGATGCCTCAGAGTCTCTTCCACAAAGCCACACTCTTCACTTTAGCGTGCTCTTGCTTCCTGTGACATTAACTAAAAAATAAGGTGGTGTAACTGGGAAACATTGATTTGAGCTCATAATTGCTTTCGAACATAATTCAGATACAGTAGGTTTTAAAATGGTTCTAGGAAGGGTCTGTGCCATTTGTGGAAGAGATGGTTTTAGAGAGCAGGTAAGTCAAGCTGTGCATAAATAAACTGTTTGTCAATAGAGTTGTTCCCATAAAGATTCTCCTCTTTGCTCTGTTTTTAGCTGTGGCATGCTGCTGATGCTATAGGATAAGGAAACATTTTTTTTTTTTACCTTAAAATGCATATGTGTATATACATAAGCGTATAAATATGTATAAACACAGCTATAATTTGAAATCATTTTTTCTTTATATTAAACTAACTCAAAGCATTGTGTATTTGACCAGATTTTTAAGCCATAAACTTTTCAATTTTTTTTTTATTTTGCATATATATATATAATTTTTTGTCACATCTCATGCCTTTCATTTGGCTTAATTGTTTCATTGTAGATGACGAGCATCTGTCTGTAGGATGCTGAGAGGGTAAAACAGCATTTCTTTGCCTCTGGCCTCATTCCCAGCCTCGCACCTAAGGAATAGCTGCTGGCCCTGCCCCAGTCCCATCCTGGTGTTTGGATCATGCTGCTGTCAGCCAGGTCCTTTGGCACAGGATTACTGAATATGTTTCCACCTTCTTCTGGCAGGATTCCTTTCAATGAAGATCCCAATCCCAATACATATTCATCAGGACCCTCCACCCCTCTGAAAAACCAAACCTATTCCTTTTCACCTTCCAAGTCCTACAGTCGACAGTCCTCTTCTTCTGACACAGATTTGAGTTTGACACCCAAAACTGGTAAGGCACTTCCACCCACTTTTTGTTTGTGTTTCTCTTTTTATATTTTCATTCAACCCCTTTTGCTTTTTGGCATTTAAGTTATCAAAATGATGTGAAAATTGGAGACCTCACACAGCACACCTCAAGCTCTAGAGGGTTTCTGCAGGGTTTCAATCCTGCCTCTATTTCCACTGTCCTGGATAACATGAAAATTACTTTTGTAACACAACTGTGCTCAAGTCAAAATAAAACATCTCAGAGCATGAAGGGAGTCCTAAGTAATTGCCTTTTCCTTATTTCCTCCATTTCATATCACAGATCATAGGAGTGTATTTCTCACCGCAATATGTTAAGGAAGGTGTTACTAAAACTGTGTAAGCCTTCAAGCCTGCTGTGTTGTGCCCTAAGTTTACTGCATACATTTATCTAATTTTGAACTCCCTTTTGCAAATTCAAAACTAGAAATGTAGCAGCCACTGTCTTTTTGTTCTTTTGGTGTATGGAAATAGCTTTACATACACAGCATACGCTTTGGAGGTAGCTTAAATTACATTAGAAGTAATCCAGCCATCTTCAAAAAGCATTTTTATTTTTCCATTGCTTTATCATAATTTCTTCAACTCGTTTTTTCCTCCCTCCTTATTTTTTAGTCTGTGCTTAGAATCATGTCAGTAATAATGTCAGCAAAACTCAAAGAATTATTGTATGTTTATTTTTCATTATATGACCAATGCTGTGAATTTTGCTAAGATAAGGTGAGGTATTTTGTAGAATTGTTTATAGAAGTGTGGTTGGTTTTCAAGTGATGTTTTAAATTGTGGTATTTAGCTCAGAACATTCTTGGCTCCATTTAATTAGACAAATTTTAAGCATATTGAGGTAGTTGATTCAGCTTTACTTGATGGAACTTCTTTCAAGAATTTTTCCTAGCAGATAAATTGACTGTTGCAGCCAAATGGAGTTGTAATAAATATTTTGTGCAGTTTATTCCCTAGATGTGTTAAAAATATTCCCAATTAGCAAGCTGTCTTTCTTAGTGCTGTTTTCTCTGTCCCGTTTTTAAAACAAACAAGCAATAAAAAAAGCACACTTTAGTTTTTGTCCTTTGTAAAGGATGTCTGCCCTCTGGGTAACCTGTGGTGGTCACTCATTTAAAGGACCTGCAGATATAACTGGATGCTTATTACTTGGGAGCACCCCAAATTCAGGTGTTGGGCTTCCTGAATATTTGAAAACCTGTTTCTTTGGATCAGATTTTCCATGGTAAAGATGACGTCATGTCAAGGATTTAAATGTAACATAAGTGGTCATCTTTCTAGATGTAAGTGTTGTGCATTTGGGCATGTGGCAACTCACTGGGAACGTGTGAAGGGTGGAAAGCAGCAGCCTGACGTATTTCCTGGCAATATCAGGGAGGTGGATAAATCCTGTCTTTAGTCAGTTCCTTCAGAACTGAAACAGATTGTCACTGGTGCCTCTTATTTGGAGGGATTTTTCAAGTATGTAAAGATAGCTAAAAAATATCTTTCTAGTGTTAAAGCACACTGTGGGCATAGTTTTGCTTCTTAGCACTGTCTTTTTGGCAGCTTTTAACTCTGCTACTGAAACTTCTCCAAAGAGGATTTTCCAGTTACATTTAAACATGCTGTATCTTGCTATGACAAACTCAATTTTGAATCTTAATAGATTAAAAGGGCAACATCTCATGAGTAATTTGTTTTATTTTTACCCAAAATTTGATATGCAGAAGACACTTTGATAGCATACTGAATTCAGTATGTTGTTCTTAACAATTACTGTGTATGTTTAGACCTCTGTTTTCATTTCCCAAGGCTTTTAGCAAGCTCACGTATCTCAGTGTGTAAGTTGGTGATCTTAGCAGTTAAACAAAGTTAGAGAAATGCAGACTCCTCATGTGACACATCAAATGTTACCAGGTTCGAGATGCCCATTATTCAGGTTGGCTGATGTGAAAAAAATATTTTCTGCTGTTTCTGCAGTATGTTGTATTCTTCTTTATTTCTCAGCCAGGTAGTTAGTGTGCTGACGTGTCAGAGGTGGAGATTAACCTGGAGAAACAGTGCAGATGCCACAATTTCCAGTATGAGTAACAAAACACTGGAGGCTGAAACCTGCATCTGCTTAAGCATCTAATTTTCAATAGCTCCAAATCTGGAGAATATTACCTTGATGTCTTCTGTGAAATGCAGTTGTGCTTGTGTTACCCATTCTGGTCTATAAATACATTTGCTGAATTTGGGTTTGGAGTTAGAATTCTGTGAGTAGGGATATGTTTTATACCACTAGAAATGAACAGGATCAGGCTGACACAAAGCATGGTGTTTTTTAATCAGATAATGCATTCTGATGTGCCATGGCATATGTTTGGAGGAAATGGGGAAGGTGGGAACTCCTTTACTTGATGGGAACTTAGAATTCTCAAGATTTATTACTCTAGAAAATCATAAAACATATGCATGACCTCTTTGGAAAACAACCTTCTCTACCGAGATAATGCAAGTAATCAGATTAAGTGTGTGCAGAGACTCTGTTGTTTGGGTTTTACTCCATGCTATTTGCTATCAAATTTTGATTGACATTTAAAATGTTTAATTACCATGTCTCTAAAAAATTAATTTCAAAATAAAGTTAATCAAGTAATGATTTTTAAAAACACGCTTCTCATGTACATTGTGGAGCTGTATTGTCATTCCATTTCTTTGTATGTCAAGGAATAATTTGCAGTAAGTGTTGATTCATTTAGAGAAAACAAAAATGCTTCATTTTGATTTCTTTTGTCCGTTTCTTTAGTCATCTTCTGAATCTACATCTTTGTCTCTATTACTTTCCTCCACAGCACCTTCCCCACAGGGACCTAGGATTTTCCTGTTTCCCAGCTCCCCTACACTCTCTTGTGATTCCCCACATCTTAAAAAGTCCTGTCTCCTCCTCTCGGGGTCTAGCATTAAACCTCTACACTCTAGCCATGTCAGCCCAGTTGTTCTGAGGAAAAGTGTTTCTTTCACTGAAGAGCTGCTTCTGGCTGCTTCTGGTAGGATCTATCTATTATGGCCTTTTAAACAAGCTTTTGAGGAAATGTTGTTATGTGATTAACACACAGATGCTTCTATAACCCTGGGTTTGCTCAGCTAGCCTCTGAGAACTGCTGGCTACATGACTATGCTTTCCATCTCTCACCTCTGCCCTAGAAGCTTGAAACACCTTCAGAACTTCTTAGAGGATTGGAAACAATGTCATATATGCTACAGAATTACTTCTTTACTCTTGAAAAATATCCTTTGCTAATTGGACTGAAATGATTCACTTTATTTGTGATCCCATTCATTCACGTTGTTGCTCCTGTTCTGCATGGAGCAAACGCTCATTGCACTTGCTCGTGAATTCATTCATAATTTGCTGAAATAATGGTTGTCAGATGCTACCAACTCTGCTTTTTAATTTAACCTTTTAAACAAAGCCCATGCTTTTTATTTTTCCTGCCCACTTTTTCATTTCACTGACATGGATTATTTTTATAGATTTCAATTAAATAGTCGTTGATATTACTTCGCTTTTTTGTAGAAACTCTTTTGGTTAGTTTGTATTTTTTGAGTTTGTTTCATGTGTAATATTTATGCTATGTTTGTCTGTATTTAGTCTTGTATAGTCCCTGACAGTGATGTTTAGAATCCATGCTAAATAGTAAAAGCAATTTAATCTTGTTTAATGGGACTATACAGATACTAATAGTTTTGTTTCCTTATCCAAGAACAGCTAAAAATACTCACTGAAAATTGTAGTGGTTTAATATCTAATTACATGGTAATGGTAGCTTAGTAACTCTTGAAAACGAATGAATGAAGTTAGGAATGAATTTACATACATTATTAAGTCTGGTATTATTTCTAGATCTCCCAGTCTTTGGTAAAAACAAATAACTGCACTTCAATGTATATTTACACTCTTGTTCATCCTTACCAGATACTTGATCAGAAGGAAAAGGCTAGCAAGGAATTAGCATGTTGAATCAGTTACAAATTCTGGAAAGCAAATCTTGGCTTCATTTCTAACTGTTTGCACTGTGGTGTTTGTATTTCATCCTGCTCCTGACACCCTTTTGTTCTTTACACTCCGCTTTCCTCTGCTGCTTAGGGGCTCCTTTTTGCTTTGTCATGCTAGCCCTGACAGACTGAGACATAAGGAATGGCAATGATCATGTGTTTTAGGCATGACGTGTTACCAAGCACACGTGAGCCAGCAGCACTGTGTGTGCTTTAGGAGAAGCACAGCCGTGTTTGCTGCAGTGCTGTGTACACCGAGCCCAGCTCGCCGTCAGACACAGCCTGCAGCTCTGCTGCTGCAGGAGCATCCTCTAGCCAGGATGCTCGTGCACCTGACCTGCTTCCTCTGCACAGACCTCCTGTGGCAGGGGAGGCTGCAGCTGGAGCTCTGGAAGGAGGAAAGAGAGAGTTAGCACCTGAGCAACACTGGAGTTTATCTCCTGTTCCTTTGCGGATAACCTGCGGGTTATGTGTGTGCCAATATCGTCACCAAATAAGTGTAGTTTTAAATGCTGAGCAGTAGCAGCCCCTAGCTTATTTGAATGAATCAATGAGTGAGTATTTCATAGTGTAAAACCATTGGTAAATTTTTTCAGAGTTTATATTCAAGTCAAAGGATATGCATTGCCTTTGTACTTTCTTCTTGTTCCTGATCATCGTGCATTGTGTAACTGCTGCTGTAATTATGTGCACAGTCTCTTCTTACTTGTAGTTAGGAAAGGTGGTTTAGTTACCTGAAACTCTCTGAAAACCAGATTTGTATTACTTCTATTCAATAAAAATATTGTAATAATATTAGTGAGAGATACACAACTATAGAGTAGTCTGACAGAGAGACTCTTTTTGATAAGGGCAGATAATCTGGTTATATAAAAACTTAATGTGAAAATTAGATCTCTATTTAAATCATAGGCAAAAAGTCATAACCAGAAAATTTAAAAAAAAAAATATGTTGTAAGAAAGAATTTTAAATCCACATCTTTAAGTTTTTATATTTTAAAGTTGATTTTAATTCAGGTTGACAGCAGGAGAAAATCTTAGATCGGGGGGGTTTGTTCAAATACTATAAAATCACTGCTAGTTCTGTGAAAAGGAAAACCTAGAGCAACCCTCAAACCAAATTTAAATTTTGATGCTTTTTTTTCTTAAAAATTAAATTGAATGGGATAATTTGACTGTTTTCAATGACTCATTTTTATCTATTTTGAAATCACCCTTGGATTACAAATTATAATATGTGTTTCTTTGAATGTCATTTGTACTGATGTTCTTCAGGAATGGGCAGTGGGAGTGCTGGAAAAGAAGGGGGGCCGTTTAAAACTCTTTTAAGACAACAGACTCAGTCAGCTCTGGAACAAAGGGTAAGGCATTTTATACTTCCATTTCTGGTCTACTGAAGTGAAAATTGATACTGTAGTAAGTTAATGTTTGCTGTTACTTTCTGTTTGAAAACATGTAATTTTAGGTCTGAACTTACTGCAAGTGTTGACTATTTAATAGCCCTTTTATACAGAAATTATTTAAATATTAATGTATTACTAGAGCACTGGGAAAAGTGGAGCAATTAACTGTGCACAGCACTCAAGTAATTCCAGTGGTACTAAGAAGTTATGGGAGAGATTACCGTTGTGTGGTCTCTGAAAGGTACTGGTGCATGTTAAGTTTAACACTTGAGTAAAGACATGATGATAAAGGTTTTACAGAAGCCAAATTCAGAAACATTGGCATAGCTTTAAACAAGTTGAAAATCCCATTTGAGTTTGGGAAAAGTTTCAGGTTTTGGGAATGGAGTTGATACCTTGTGCCCCATTTCATGGAGTAGGAGGAAGCCTTTAACTGGGAACTTGAACCTGAACTGCTTGCCAAGCAGTAAAAAGCATTTATAGATTTGAACTTCTCCTCTATTGGACTGAAAATGCCATCTGTCATTATACTGAGTGGACTATATGATGAAAATAGAGGTTTTAATTAATTGTTCACATTTGAAATGAGTAATTGCAACTTTTTTTACAAGCTATATACTGTTTGATCAAAATGTTGATAATGAGGTGTGTCGAAAGAAGAAATGGGGGTGTATTTGCCCTCAGAATAAATCCATTGCAGTTTGACTGCCTGAGGCAGTGAGCTGGGAGCAGGTGGGCAGTTGCAGGTGGGCAGTGTGCGTGGGGAGCTGCCCTGTGGAGCCAGTGGATGATTCTCTCCTGGTCCCGTGCGCTGCCGTGGCGAAGGGAGCGTCGCCCCGCAGGTTCTGTGCCAGGCGGGTACCTGGAACTCCGCGTGCCTCCCCTGGCCCTCTCCTCGGCTCCGGGCCATTCCAAGGCAGCATCTGAAATACGGCCTTCTGTGAGGCTTGGCAGATTTCTCTCTGGTTTTGTTTATGCAGAATTTTTTAACTTTGTTGTTTTTAAGAGCATTTTTTAGATCGGTGTATTTTGCATGTTGGTTCGTTTCAGTTAACCTTTTAGTTTAAGTATGAATACAAATCCATGGCTTTCTGCTTTTAATTTTTTAATTTGGCTGAAGGAATGCTTTAAAACAAGTCTTTTTTTCTGTTTACCTTTGATTTTGCTAGCATTTCAGATGTTCCATGGCTGATCTTTTTATTTCCGTAGGAAACTTTAAGACAATAAAAAAGTAAATTAAGAGCCCTTAATGTATTTTTAGAGCCTTAATTATTTGAACATTATTTTGATAAGATCTGTGTATTGTCTAGTAGAAAAAAGATACTGTAAAATGGGATGGAGGCGTGTTGAATCTGTTATTGATGGTGATTGTGATGTAGCAGCAAAGCATGTGGGCAGTTAATTGATTAAAAATGTTCATTCCGTCTTCTGAAAATGTCACGTGGGATGTGGTTTTGCTATGGTGTTACCTCTTTTGGTATATATGAATAACATCTGTAAGTTATTTTGTCTGTTTTAGTATGACACACATAAACAGTGCACATAAACACTTACTTTTCTGGATTACTTAGGATAGAACATATTTGGGAAAAGGAAGAATAAATTCAGTATATATAATGCAGTTTCACATGTATTAGAGCTATCATAAAACCCCAGAATACTTTGAGTTTAAGGGACCTTAATGGTCATCTTATTGCAGCCACCCTGCTTTGGGCAGGGACACATTCCATGAGACCAGGTTGCTCAAATAGTTCTTTTGAGTCTTAGATTATTCTGGTATGTGGTAATGCTAAGGTACCTTAAAATGAGTTCATTTAGTTGCATGTCTCAAGAGCTTTTTTTAACCAAATGTGTTTTTTTTAAGTAATGTATATTACTTAAATAACCATAACTGCAAACTGAACAGAGTTGGTTAAAAGGGTAATATTCCTCAATTTCTTCCCTGAAATAAACCTGTAGAAAATACAGCTGTGGGAAACTCAGGCACATGTTACATTTTACATTAATAACTGTAAGCAGTTCCCTGGACATCTGTAGACAGCAAGACTAACTGCAGCACAGCTGTCTTTCTGTCTATTTTTAATTTAAAAAAATACATTCTGCATGTCCATCAGTATGAAAATTTGATGTTATTCTACTCCTAAAAAATTAGCCTATATTTTTGTAGAAATGGCCAAAAGCTGCTCTCAGTGGTATTTTGTGTCTCTCACTTCTACTTGGACAGATTCTGGTTTCTTCCTGTTTTTCCATTCTGCAAGAGCTTGAGCAATCTCATTGTGCTGAGCAGGTGTTTGAGGATTTGACTGGGACCTTCTCAAACTTGCCCCAAACACAGCTATAGAATCTCTGTGTAGTTTTGAGGATTAAAAGTGAAGTTCTTTGATGGCCTGTGCAATCAGTGACTGTGGAGTACTGAATTGGTGTTGGTAAAATGGTTGGTCATCTTCATCTGTAGCTTGGAAATCATCCTGGTTTGTCATATACTGAAATACTTCATGGTTGCATCACCTTGAAGTAAAGGAGTCCTTTGCAAATTGCAGTAATAGAGGGGATTTATAATATGGGAACTGCATCTGGTTTTCCCTGAAATCTCCATTTTCCCTGAAAAAAACTGTAGATTTAGAATTTTGAGCTACTACAGTTTACAACATGTAATTGAGGCTGGAACTTGTATTTGAGCAATGTAATAACAAAATTTTAAAAAACTCTAGATTAAATAGAAAAAGAAAAGTCTTTATATGAATTGGTGGAGTTCCATCTGTGTCAGAAGGAATGAGAGGTTGTTAACAGAATTGTGTCAGAATGATTCAGTGAGTCAGGTTCTGATAGAACACCTTATGTTCTCATGTGTCATAATACAGGCTTGGGAGTATTGGTGTATTTACTGAGATAAAACCAAGTTGTTATTTGAAGTTTTACTCCTGGTTTCTAGTGTAGGCAATCAGACAAAGTGGAAGTGTGAACACGTTAAGGTTACTTGCAGTACACAGCCTTATGGAAAGTGGAAAAACCTCTGAATTTCCATATAGATTAAAAACATTGGATTTGCTCAAGCTTTCGAGCATGGAGCATTGTTTACTTTGCTTCAGCCCGGTGTAAATGGGAGTGTGTGTATACACAGAATGTAAATGTAGTAAAGCCTTAGTGGAATTTCATAGAGGTGGCACACCCAGAACACTCCTTCATTCATTTCTGCCATCCTGGGAAGGCAGTATTTTGAGTATTTTGACTATTGTGATAACTTGCAAGGCACTTGGCAATCTGTTAGAACCTCCTGGGGGAATCTTCACAGCATCCTCTCTAGAATCCATCTCTGCTCCTGGAGACCCATCAGTCAAGCAGGTTGGCAGAGTCCTGGGCTGAACTCTTCCTGCTTGTTAATTGCATCTCAAGGCAAAACTGCAGGCTTTGGCTTTTGGGATTGTTTTTCTTCTGGTTATTGATGCTGTGGTTGCTGATTTCAAAGTTTGCCTCTTAATTTTGAAAGTTTAAGCAATATGAAAATCCAGGAAACTTGAAGTTTGTAGGATGTTTTTAAAGTTCTAAGAGTTCCTGTAAGAAGGGTGGCAAGAATCCTGAAGTATTAATTTTTAAACCTACATTGGGTTTAAACCATCTTTAGATTAAGATGGCTTTTCAGGCCATGTATTGCTGGGAGAGCCTGATCCTCACTGAATCTGCAGCACGTGTGCTGTTCAGGTAGAAGCTTGATTGAATTGTACTCTTTCCAAGTATGTGAGAAAGTACAGGATAGATTCCTTTCTCTCGTATAAAAATATGGAGTTTATTTGTTCCATTTAATTAGTTACAGTTATACAAAACATGATTGCATGATTTTTCATCTTTTTTTTTTTTGCTTTCTTCATTTAGAATTGCTGAACATGAATTATTGCCTTTCCCCCATAAGTGTGCTATTATGTATATATTAGACATATCACAGAATGTCTCTGGAGCAATGAAAATCTAGGTTTGGGCTCAGCTTCTTTGAATAAGACTTTTACTGCATCATATGTCTCTTGAAAAATTGTCATTATTAGTTACTTTGCCCCTTTTATGAATGAAAAGCTGGAGTAGTTACTGAACGTTAACTCTTCATTTTACTTATGAACTGGAAGTGAATTATCTTTAAGAACTTGTACTTAAACTTGTGTTTAAGTACACTTGTTATGTTTTATTTTAAAAATGTATACTTACTTGTTATTTTTAGAGCTTACAAGCAGAGCAGTCCTTTGATATTTTTTAGGTATGTTTTCCTGTAACAGACTGTCCTCGTTCTTGCAGTTCTACAGTTTGTTTCACCCCGTGCTTCAGAATCAAACTGCAGTCAGTTATAACAAGAACACCTAAAAATGGAGAAATTTTTTTTTATCAGCTAATGCAAGAAGAATTCTGGCGTTCAGCAGCCACAGTAAAAGTGGTTCAATGCAGATTTTGTTAATCTAAATGTCTAAAGTTTTGATTATTTATCACTGTTGTGCTGAGAAACAACTCTGTGGGGGAAAAGTATTCTTTCAGTGTGTGGAGCCTGTGCTTTTCTGACGCGGTGGGGACGCGCGGCTCTGCAGCGCTCGGGGCTCCGCGACCCGCCTCGCTCGCGTGTCGGGCGAGGGAGAGCTCGGTGCCTGCTCCCTGCACCCTGTAATGCTTCCTCTTCATGCCAACAGGAATTCCCGTTTTTCACCCTGACCACCTTCCCACCAGGCTTCCTGGTCCACGTCGGGGGCGTTGTCAGCGCGCGCTCCGTGAAGCTCCTGGATCGCATCCACAATCCCGGTAGGTCGGCACGGGAACATGGGAACACCTGCCTGGCACGGGAACATGGGAATAACCTGCCTGGCATGGACACACAGGCCTGCCTGGCACGGGAACACGGGAATACCTGCCTGGCAGGGGAATGGGGGCCTGGCAAGGGAACACCTGCCTGGCATGGGCTGCCCTCCAGCCTTGGTGACACCCTGGGGACAGACAGATCCATTGTGGCAGTGCACAGCCAAAGCAGTGCATTGCAGAGAGCCATTGGGGCTTGGGAAGTGACTTACTCAATGGTCGTGGTTTTAGTGAGCAACATTCCAGCGAGTTAAAGTGGTAATAAAATGCTTTGAATCAGTAACTTTGCACTGAAAACTAGCTTTGAATTATTGTGGGGTTAATTTTTTGCCGCTTTTTGTGGTTAAAACTTGATGCAAGTTTTTCCATTCAAACAAAAATGAGATTAAATGCTTGATCTTAACTATGAATGTTTTCCCATTTTCAGCTCCTTGAAATCTTAAAGGACTAATGGCTACAGCTCACAACATGGTTTTTAACCTTTACAGCTTTGTTTCTGTTCTTAGAAGCCTTTACTGAACAGTACTTGAAGATTTTTATTTATTATTTTCCTGGGAACCCCAGCACGAGAGCACGTGTGCTTTGCATGTCCTAGTTCCAATGTTAGAGCTGAGTGACTTTTGACTCTGAAGACTTGGTTGGTTTAGTTGCTGAAACCAGATGAGGAATGCTTTGCAAAAAGTTGGACTTGACAGTGCACTTAAAAATGCAGAGCAGAGTAAAAATAGCACCTGTAGTGATTTTGCATGCACTAGTCAGGAGTAATAAAAGGAAGTTTATGCAAATACATCCTTAAAAACAAGTACAAAAAACGGAATATTTTCCTTTTCTTCCTATGGCCCAAGGCAAGCAATTCTCCAGGCAGGTAGAGCAGATTGTTGCTGATCTAAAGGTTCAGTAAACTGGCAACATGAAATTAAATCCAAGACTTAATTTGCATTAGATCCTCCTACTTTTCGAGTATATTGGTACACAATGTTGCTCTTTTGTTTTCCTATTCTAAGGTCTGTTTATACAGTGAAGAGAAGATTAAAAGAAATGTCTAAGTATAATTAATATATGAGTCTTTCTTTGCCACAAAGTTATTTTAGGATTCTCTGTTTTCAACAGATTTCTGATACAGATCTCTTATGTGCAAAATTTACTGTGTGATGGATGTAAGACAATATAAAAAAAAAAGCAGTTCTGCTCAGAAATTTTAAAAACTAATTTCTTGCATTATGCCCTCCTTCCTTTTTACCAGCTGACTGGAAGCCCTGTAAGCCATAAGGCAAGAAGAGATGTGTGGGTGCAGAGCTGCAGTGTTTGTGAGACTTGCAGATTGCTCCTGACAAGTGAATGTAAAATGCACGATCCTTGGAACTCACATTGCAAAATAGTGGGAACAAAAGGGGGAATGAAAGCACGTGGCTGTGGGAGGGAAGGTGGAGGAGTAAAAAAAAATCTGATATAGTTATGATCGTGAAGCATTTGAGTCAAACAAGTCTGTAAAATATTAAAGGAAGGAAATAAACTGGGAGATTAATGAATCAGGAAAACGTGGAAGAGGAGAGAACATTTGCAGGTGGATTAAGAATGTGCCAGTAGGACAAAACTGCCAATTACTGTCCACTCAGTCACCTAGTGCCAGACTGCTGTAGCATGCTCCTCTTCCCCTTTCTATTTCAGCCTCTATTAACTCTGCTGTCTGTGTCTTTCCAGTTCCTGTGGAGTGGTCTTGTCAATTGTGTTCTTGTTGGTAGTTTTTTCACTATTCTGCTGCTATAACTGATCTACTAATTTGCTGTTTTGAACTCAGCCTTTGTCGGAATTATGGGTAACACAAGATCATACAAACTGCTAGACTGGAATAGTTTCAATTCAGGTATTTTATTAGTCATTCAGTACTACATATGCTGACAGAAATTATGGCAGCTCAGTGAAGTTATTAGAAATGCTCTAGGATATTTAGGTTAATGATTCAAATTTCAATATGTTTAATCATCAAATGCCTAAATGTCACGTTTTCATGTTGTTAAAGACTTTCTTTAAAATTACAAAACATTGTTTTAGTATAAAATAGTATTGCTAAGAATAATTTAATATCAATCTGGAAAGCTGAATGTTCAGATGTTTATTTAGTAGCCACTTTCAGCTCAGCATCCATGAAGGAAGTAATTTAGGCTAAGAGAATGGGTTCTTCCTTACACAGTTAGGATCATGTCAGGTGTTATTTTGTTTGTTTGGTTTGGGTTTTTTTTTATGTAATGGGTTTTCAGTGTTTATTTTGGCCTATTGGTTCAATTTGGGTCAAAACTAACTGTTGGTTAGTTTGTTGTTTTGCATGGGCTTGCACTTTGTTCAACAAAGGCTTTCCTCCTGTTAATTTCAGGAAATCAATGAATGTGTTTGTTCTTAATAGTAGCTCTAAAATAGAAGTTGTATTATAGATAATAATAGATATAAAAGTGATCCAAGAAAAAAAAGATTATCAGTTTCAAGAGAAGAGTAGTATGTAGCCTAGGATTTGTTGGTTCATAAATCTTGAATTGCAAAATGCAGCCAGTTACAGGACTTAAAACTTTTTAATCGCTTCATTACCCAGCTTGAAAAAAGCCCCAATATTCTTATTTTTATGCAGTCTTAGTAACCAAAGTGTGTAACTTCCTCATGCAGCTGTAGAAGGCATGGATGAGATGGTGCAGTCTAGGTGCAGCAAAGACTTCTCTCTGTCATGTTTTCCCTGTGGAAGGATAACATCTGTGCAAGAGAGGCAGGCATCACTTCCCTACATAGAGCATCCAAGCCAGTGGCCTTGTCAGACTTTGATGTTTGTAAAGCTGGCACCATAAAAAGGTACAAAGCTGACCTCTGAGGGCTTGCTTCCCCAGAAACCTTCCTTCTTGATAATTCACTCTTGCCATGCAGCTCTGTGTCGTGCTCTAAAACTCACTTTAAACGTGCAGTTGTTAAAAATCAGACACTTTTCATTCTGCAAATTGTTCAAAAATAGGGAGAGCTCAAAACTATTGGCTCATTTTTGCTGTCTCTTTTACAGTAAGCATCCTTTAATATTATGATTATGAGCTTTTCTGACTGTTGGTTTTCTGTGCTTGTTCTAAAGTGATAATCTTTTAAAATTAACTTTCAGTATGAAAAGACTATTATAAAATTCTCGGGTCTGTGACTGGTATGGCATAGTCTGATCCAAGGTGTTAAAAATGTGTCAAAATTTTTGTGTACTGTGTACGACCTTGAAAAGTTGGAATTCATTGTTGCTTTTCCAGTTTCTTTAGTAGGATGTTTTTATTGAAAGAATTGTATTAGAATAATGGAGTAAATGAGTTTATGTACAGACACTAAACATGCCTTGAACTAGACTAGAAAGTGATCCACAATGTCAAATTAGGAAGCAAAGCGCAAGTCAGGAATTCAGTTCTTGGTGGAATATCCATAACTGTTGTCTAAATTTTTTAGAGATTACAGGGAAATGAATGTGCATTTATGTGTATGTGAAACGTTTTCCCCAGATGTGCTTTTTACCTAGAGGTGTTGGTTGGAGTAGAGAGGTGTAAACCAAAGAGTAACTGTGGAGTTAATCCCTCCTGAGAGCTGGCTGTGTTCTGCAGCCTGGCTGGGTCAGTGGGTGTGCAGAGAGCTGGTTATCCCTGCTGCTTTGGCACTGAGCAGGATGCACTCCTGTCCCTGGCAGTGTGCGTGGGGCCTTTGCAGTGCTAGGTGTGCTGCTGGACACAGAACGTAATCACAACCATAAGTGGCCTAAAATTATCTTCCTTTTGGGAAACGTTCAGGCTTCATTTCAGCTTGCTTAGTAACTGTGTAGTGCAGAAGGATATTTCTTTTTTCTTTTTTCTTTTTTTTTGTCTTGCCAATGATTTAATTGTATGTGAGATATGACAGGAGCATCCAGTGATAGGGAAACATCAGAGATTTGAAGGTGCTTGAAAATCAGACGTGGAAGTAAAGACTGACTATTTCATGAATGGAAAAGAAGCTGCTTATATATCTGGGAACTGCATATAGTTCAATGAAGAATTGTTTAAATGTTTGTACAATACAAAAAGGTGGATATGAAGATGAATTTGCAAAATGAAAGTAGGGAGTCGAGCAAAAATTCATAGAAAAGAGGGCACATAATGCAGTGGAAGATAGCTTCTGGTGCTGTCTCTGGGAAAGAACAAACTCCAAGTATAAAAACGTGCAAGGAGTCCTCAATCCAGGAGGCTGACCTTTGTTAAAGGTTAAATACAGAGCACAAAGTTAGGCAGTGCAAGAACTTGCTGAGTAGAGGCTGCTTTTGCATATGGCTGTTTCACAGCACCAATATATCGTTTCTCACATAAATGAATTTTAAACTCCTCATTCAGGAAGCTGCTCCAGCAGTGCATTTTCAGCTCCAGCAGTCAGAAATATGGAAAGATAAAAGATTGATAAAAACTTCCTGAGCATCTCCTGAGCTCCCTGTGTGATATCCAGTCTCGTTGTTGGAGTGTGAAGTTCTCCAGAGTTAGTTTTGTATAGAGGAAGTGCAAGAGCAAAGCTTGGCAATGTTTTGTTTCTGTAACTGAATGTTTTTCTTCCACAGAAATACAGAGAATGTGCAAATGACATTTCAGGCTGCTTTCTGGGTGTAAGTGTGGCCCAGTTGTAGGAGCACAGTAGGAAATGTCAGAATGTGCCTGCTGGTGTCTGATGTGGTTATCCTTCAGATCAAGTAGTAAAAGCCCCAGCATTCTGAGGTTGACCTCTTGCCTTTTCTTGGGAAATTTCCAGGTTGGCTTCTTGCCCATCAGTGTGTGTTGAATGAAAATGGGAGGTTAAAGCAGTTGTCAGAGGTTTTTTCTGAAAAGAATGAGGCATGTGATAATAATTGACTCCAGTTTTCTGCAGCCTTTCCAGAGGAGTGAATGTTCCCAAGTCATTTCTGTGGTTAATGTGAATGGTGT